ACACACACACATAGACACACACCTACACCCCTTCCCCCCACACACCTCCAATTAACGGGTGTCTTGGTATCGCCAACGACCACCACCTTCCATTCGGGTATCTGAGACAGGAACTTGACGTCAGCAGTGGGCAAGGCGATTGACGTCACCACGATCCACTTGTCGTGTTTGTCTTGCTCGTTCACTTTGATGTGCCGCGTGTTACTAAAAATAGAATAGACATTTTAATTAGCTAGAAACTGTGACAGTCTATTTTAATTAATTAGATAAAACAAGAGATGTGAGAAATATCTTCATATGCGCCGTTAGCTCAGTTAGTTGGTATCATGCTAGACTACGGAGTGTGTGGCAGGCCCATGGTCAAATCTCTATTGGGGCATTCTGAATTTTGATTTGTTTTGGGAGCATTTATGGCTTTGTTACTAATTCGGCTCGGTCCTATCGGAAATGGGCGTTAAATTCGGAGATACCTCCCCTTGAATAACCGCACAGTGCTGAAAGAGGCGTTACACCTTTTAAAAAAAGTTTAAACAATTAAAATAAACAAAGAACAAACAACATTTTTGGGGTCTGAATCTTCGGAGAAGTAATTCCCGATATCACCATTTTTTTCCTCTAAATGTAAACTACAAACAAATGTTGACGTGAAATAGAACAAGAGATGTTTACAAATACAGTACAACACGGATAGGTCGAACACAGAAGACTCAAAATCATGCATCCGTCTAACTGTGCTTGCGGTCCCTTTTTTTTTCTTTCTTTATTTTTGTAAGATTTCCCTCGGGCTACGGATATCTCGAACTTCCGAGGCCTGTCCCCGACGTGTTCGACCTCTCCGTGTTCTACTGTATTTTTGTTAGCAGCACATCTTCGAATAGTTAATTTTTGACGCTGCCAAGTTATCTTATTGACATAGACTAATAATTTAAAACTTCATTTTGATATTTTGAAAAGAACAAGAGATGTTGCAAACATTGATTTAGTTGTTTCATCTTCTAATAGGCAAAACTGGTGTGTGTGTGTGTGTGTGTGTGTGTGTGTGTGTGTGT